CCCCGCGCCTACCCCTACACACAAACCTCCAGTGGCATAGCGCAAAATGCGGAGGCCCCCCTGCAGGGATCACTGACGGGGCCCCCTGATGATGGGGGGATGGGGGTTCACAAATTGAGGAGCAGGGAAGGGAGGCAGGGTGGAGCGACAACGCGGGGAAGCCTTCACAAACTAGAAGCGATCACAAACCGAAAGCGACGAGAGCGTCAAAGTAGCCAGAAGTCATTAATTTCAATGAGAACCGGCGGCGAGAAACAGCGCGGCGCATCTTCTCCGGTTGGGCGTCAAGGAGAGTTGAAATCAAGTCAACTTTATGGTATGAGCTATGACGCGGTTTGGCGGCAAGCAATCAGAATGAAGTAGTCCACCACAGAGAACACAGACCTGTGAACTTTGGTTTCGACCACAGTTGTTCCCAAGAGTTTGATTATTGCGGTTGCCGGATTTTCAATTATTGAAAATCACGACGACGCGGGGCCCCCTAATCACGCTGGGCCCTCCCGCTGTGAGTGCCCTGCGGGCCCGTCCGCTACGCCACTGCAAACCTCAAGAAACATGTGGACAAATATGAATGCCAAAAGACCCTGTTAAGTATGAACTTGAAGTATTTTGACTTACGAGGACACAAGACATGTCCTCATAAACCACCTTGAAAAAGCACAACTAGGTCATACTCATGTCATCAACACCATAGCCTCATTGTGAATACATACCCTTGTGTACATTTCTGGAGAGCATGAATTATGTAGGCAGAACAACGTATGGCTGCATTTCAACTTTGAAACGAACGCTACGGTGTGGTATGATGCAGCTGACGGCTACTGTTTCTTTTTGTGCTTACCTCCGTGTGGACTGGCTTTTCCGCTGTCACCCGTTTGCCTGGTGGTTTGCTGCATACGTCGGCAGACTTGAGATGAATAGAGGAGTTGACCATGACGACTGGCTTCGAGTCGGGTGAAGAGTGGTTCCAAAAAGCAGGTAAGACTAAAAAGAAGCCAAAAAATTAAATAAATAAGTAAATAACAAGAAGGGAATGTGGTTAAACCTGAAAACATGGTAAAGATCAGGTGAGGGCTTTCCTTTTTCTGGATTGCTTTTGAAAACACTGCGATTGGGTTTAGGGAAGGGGGTGATCGGGTCAACTGGTGCTTTAAAAACACTGTCAGTTAGGTTTAGGAAAGCGGTTGGGTGGGGGGCATCAGTCAGTCGGTCAGTCAGTCAGTTGACATCGGCCTCTGGTAGGCCACTCTGGTAAACTTTATTGCTATTTTCAGACCAATGCAACAGTAATTTTGCGCCAAGTTGTTTAAATAGCCAATCCATTTGCACAACTTCGTGGACTCATGGGTGTGCTGGTCTGAAAAGCAGGGGTGTTAAGGTGCATTTTTGGCGCAGTACTATTTATTTGGCAGTGCCACTGACCAAATAAAATCTGGTCTAAAGTCCAGTGAAGAGCACGTTAGTTATGCGCCTATGAGGGTCAAATGCTTAATACACACAGGATGTGCAGCAATACACAAATAGCTTTGCATATGAAAACAATTAAAGGATTAAAATGTCACAAATATAAATATAAAAGCCACTGCCTCAATGCCTTCTTCACCTCTGGGGCTTTTTTCAGTTTCTTCATGAGTTTGCATTAGGATGATGTTATAATTATTATCAGTATTATTTATCATATGCATATTTATATTGGTTTGAATAAATGCAAGTTTAGATTTGTCCACCTGTCATCATTATACAAATTTAAATGTCACTTTAAGCTGTATAGAAGTGTCTTGAAGAATATCTAGTCAAATATTATTTACTGTCATCATGACAAAGATAAAATTAATCAGTTACTAGAGATGAGTTATCAAAACTATTATGATTAGAAATGTGATGAAACAAGCTTCCCACCGTTAAACAGAAATTGGGGAAGAAAATAAAGAGGGGCGCTGATAATTCTGACTTCAATTTTATGTACATATATATATATATATATATATATATATATAATGTCAATATAAAGTTTTATAAACTCAATTTGATATTTTATTTCTTAAAACAAGACAACATGTTTTGCTTGTCTTGAAAATACTTATACATTTAGGAATGTTAAGATATTTGGACTAGAAACAAAACAAAACATCATTCTCTGCAGTGTAAGTTTAATTGAGCATTCCTCCATCTGTTGACAGCAGTTTAAGGGTTAATGTACAAAAAATGCTTTATCTAAAAGACTACAGATGTCGGCATCTCTCTGGTTTCCTGTGTTTATGCTTTGCATAGCTCAGAGTTCAGGCATTTTCTCCTTCACACACACACATGAATACATAAACTCTCTCTCTTCACTCTTTCTGACTCTCACTTTCTATAAGAGGATTTTGTCTTGTGGACTTTCATTCAAATTCTTTCATTATTAGCTGTTTGTTCAGTGCTTGTCATGATACAGTTTGTTCCAAAGCAGCTTCACATGTTTTTAATGTAATAATAGTAAGGTAATAGTACTAATGTTATATTAGTAAATGCATGTTTTAATGTAATAATCGCGAACTAACAATGATCTGATCAAGCTTATGTCATCAGCCGATACTTCTTACCATCATTTTTTTATTTATAACTGTATATTTTTTATTTAAAACTAGTAAACCTCAAATACAAAAGTACTTTACAACTCTACTTGTACTGTAATCTCTCTACTATTGACTTTACTGTCAATCAGTACTGATTGATTACTATTTAAGTTGTTATTTATTTAAATCAAGCATACTTTCATTAATCTGCAGTGTCGATTCTATGGTAACACAACTACTACAGTAATTAATATGCTGTATCCATTCTATAGTTGCTATGGTAACACAACAAATTTAGTAATTCATCTGTTTTGGTGATTCGTTTGTTGCTATGGGAACACAACAACTATAGTGTTTAATCTGTTTTAGTGATTCTATAATTGCTATGGTAACACAACAACTATAGTAATTAATCTGTTTTGGTGATTCTATAGTTTCTATGGTAACAATAACTATTGTAATTATTCTTTTTGGTTATTTTTCTGTTGCTATGGTAACTCAACAATTATAGTAATTAATCTGTTTTGGTGATTCTACAGTTGCTATGGTAACACAACAACTTTAGTAATTAACATGTTTTGTTGATTCTATAGTTGCTATGGTAACAACAACTATAGTAATTAACCTGTTGTGCCGATTCTATAGTTGCTATGGTAACAACAACTATAGTAATTAGTCTGTTGTGCCGATTCTATAGTTGCTATGGTAACACAACAACTATAGTAATTAACCTGTTGTGCCGATTCTATAGTTGCTATGGTAACAACAACTATAGTAATTAGTCTGTTGTGCCGATTCTATAGTTGCTATGGTAACACAACAACTATAGTAATTAATCTGTTGTGCCGATTCTGTAGTTGCTATGGTAACACAACAGCTATAGTAATCTGTTTTGGCAATTCTGTATTTGCTATGGTCACACAATTGGTGATTTTACGTTTTTTTGTATATGTACATCAAACTTTATTGTTTAAATTATTTTTGACTACGTATACAGCTATATTCCTATTTAGATAGTATTTTTATTGAAATATATGATTGAAAATTAGGTTCATGCTACATGCTGTTTTTACTTGATTGCACCACAGAACTGACTTGTAAATAGTCTAAATTCATTCATTTATTCATTTTCTTTTCGGCTTAGTCCCTTTATTTATCTAGGGTCACCACAGCTAATGAACCGCCAACTTATCCAGCACATGTTTTACGCAGTGGATGCAGTTCCAGCTGCAACCCATTACTGGCAAACATCCATACACACTTATTCACACTCATACACTACGGACAATTTAGCCTACCCAGTTCACCTGTACCACATGTCTTTGGACTTGTGGGGGGAAGAGGAGCACCTGGAGGAAACCCACACGAATGCGGGGAGAACATGCAAACTCCACACAGAAACGCCAACTGACCCAGCCAAGGCTCGTACCAGCAACCTTCCTGTTGACATTTTAGTCATTTGAAATAATATAATATATAGAGAAATAAGCCTGTAAAATAGCAGAAAATGTACTGGCAGTTTATTACAAGATTTTTGTAGCATATATACAACACCAACACAGACAATATAGCACTTTAAACTATTCATAAAAGTCAAACTTTTCATGGTTAAAGTTTTTGGAGAAGATCAAGATCCCATAATGCAATTAAAAAAAAAAACAGAAAATAAAAAATTAAATCATAATCACGATACGGAAAAATGATCATTTATGGATATTTTTACAGTGCAGTCATAAGTGTCTTTTAATTGAGATGTATCAATCATCTAAAAGCTAAATTAGTCTACATTAGAATATGGTTTGTTGTGATGGGTCAGTACTTATTAAAGATGCAAATACTGAAATCTGAAGATTAAAAATGTAAATATTGAGAAAATCAATTCAATTCAGCTTTATTTCCATAGCGCTTTTACAAAGTAGATTTTGTCAAAGCAGCTTCACATAGAAGATCATGGTAAATTGTAACAGTGTAGTTCAGTCTTCGGTGTTTAGGTTCAGTTTAGTTTAGCTCAGTTCAGTGTGGTTTAAAAGTCACTACAGAGAGTTCAAACACTGAAGAGTAAATCCATCGATGCACCGCTCTAGATCCTGAACCATGCAAGCCAGAGGCGACAGCAGCGAGGAAAAAACTTTACCAATTGGGAAAAGTGGAGAATTAAAATACCTTGAAAGAAACTTTACTCCATTTTGCATGACCATTTCTCCTCTGGCCAAACGTCTTGTGCAGAGCTCAAGTCTAGCTTCCGCAGGCTGGAAGATGGACCCTTAGCGAAGACTCGTCTGTCCCTGGGTCATCACCTTTAAAGAACTGCACATTACTAAACAACACTAGGACGTTTACACTAAAGAATTACACTAGATCTTTACTTGATACACCAATGATTTTCCTCATGAAATAAAAATCCATAATTTGAACAATGTATTTTTGACTATTGACACAAATAGACTTGTTTTCAGCTCCAGGTTGTCTCACACACACACACACACACACGCACACAGCCTCCAGAAATGTTTACATCCATAAAGCGATCGGGTATGCTGTGGCAGACCATAATTGCTCGCTTTTATAAAAAGCTCAATTGTTATTAATAAAATCTCTCTCCCTTTGTCTGTCGTGTGCGTCATCTGGAATGGCGTCACGTGGGAGTGAAAAGGCGACGCGCGCGCGCTCCATCCGTTACAAATGATTCGCGCCTCGAGAGGAGATACATCAAGAAAAAAACGGCAGTGTTTACCATTCACAGAAGTAATAACAGCGAAATATGGGGGATTTTCACTTTTCTTCGACGCGGACTGTTTGTTTAATTGGAGTGTTCAAACACCGGAGTCCGAAAACCGCGCTCTTTCTACCACTTAACGTTATTCCGGATTTATAGGCGAGAAGAGACTCTCGACAGGAGCATTGATTGATAATAAGAGCTACACACAAGACAACTTGTTTTGTTTTGAGGTGTTTCTTACCCGAGCACATTTTCGGTTTGGAGTTGTGAAGTTTGGAGATGGAGAGGATTCGCGCGCTCGGATGGAAGTTTTCTCTCCAAGCAAACACACCGAGGGAAACTCGTCGACTGGATAATGAAACTACAAAGAAACAGCTCTCAAATGAAATTATAATTGAAGATATTTTCCACTGTGGTGTGGAAATATGATGATGATGAGCGGGAGATCCGCTTGTGCGTAATGGACACATCACGTTAACACCAGGAGGAGGATCTCAAGGTACAGGTGTGTATTACTTGTCAATGACAAACATTATGAGTCTCAAAATCGAACAATATCTAAAATCAACATCTAATCTAATTTCTAAAACAAATAATATTTCAATTTAACGGTGTCCTGCTGAAAAAAAAACATGCTGGTATGTTTGATGCTGGTTTTGCTGGTTTCTATTCTGGTCTCTAATATAGAGACCAGCACTGAAACCAGCAAAACCAGCATCAAAACATACCAGCATATGCTGTGTTTTTATTTTATTTTATTTATTTAACAGGGTGATGATGATGTGCTTTACATTAAAAAACAAACAAACATTTAGTCATATTGCGCACAGAATCCCCGAGCATTTCTTCACCCCTGCCATTATTCTGATGTGTGTTGTTGTTGTTGTTTGCATATGAGTGGTTCTGTTATTGCGCATGTGCTTGTTAAAGGTTATAAGCTCTCCATGAGACCTAAACGAGCAATATTGAAGAGCATATGATCGATATGATTGTGCTGCAGAGGACTTTATTACTTCTGCCACCCACACGTACACACACACACACACACACACACACACATACACACACACACAGATCTGTGCTTATAAACAACAGATGATCGTGGGTAGTCATATATATTCATGCACGATTCTCCTCAACATAAAATTGCTCAATTGTTAATGTAAACAACTGTATTATATATGTCCCTGGGTCATATATATATATATATATATATATATATATATATATATATATATATATATATATATATATTGTATTAACCTTCTCGTTCTTCCTCATTCTCTTGGTGAGATGTTTTCTGTGGGATTTTGTTTAGTTGTCGTCATTTAGACGCTGTTAGTTACTCAGGGTGTTTGATGATACTATAAAGCAACTTAATAAACTTACTGTAATTTGCTACAGCAAAATACACTGTAAAAAATGCAGGGTTACACACAATTCCCTCATGTTGTCCAAACACAAATCGATTGAAATAACTTAATCATTTTAACAAATTTAAGTGGGTCGAACATAAAACCATTTAGCCACCGCCCCCCCCCCCCCCCCCCCCCCATTTTTTTTAAATAATGGTGTTGTGTCAACTCATTTTAAATTAGTAGTTGGAACTAAGTATTTTTCTCTCAAAGTATAATTTAACTTTAGTTCAAACATCACAATTTAATTTATAATATTTATTATAATCAAGAAAAAAACTTTGTGTGGCTCAGTGGTTAGCACTGTAAACCTCACAGCAAGGTCACTGGTTCGAGTTCCGGCTGGGCCAGTTGACATTTCTGTGTGGAGTTTGCATGCTCTCCCTGTGTTGGCATGGGTTTCCTCTGTGTACTCCGGTTTTCCCCAATTACATGCGATATAGGTAATTTGGGCGAACTAAATTGTCCAGAGTGTATGACTGTGTGTGTGTGAAGTAGTGTTTATGGGTGTTTCCAAGTGCTGGAAGTGCATCCGCTGTGTAAAACATGCTGGAAAAGTAGGTGATTCATTCCTCTGTGGTGACTTCTGAAAATAGAGACTAAGCCAATGGAAAATGAATGAATGAAGAAAGATTTACATTCACAAAATTAACAACATTGTTGACTATAATATAGAGACACTAATTATTTTTTTTTATTTTTATTTTTTTTGGAACAATTTAGATTTTTTTCTTAATTATGGAAAAACTAAATTTTTAAATCTTATAACAATGTATAGTTTTGCTTTGGACCAACCTAAAATAAATACCATGATGTCATTTGTTACAGGGAAACTTATATATTTCCCTCAAACTATAGTTTTGACTTGGTTGAAACTGAAAAATGCTATTTAATAACAATCACAATATTTACTCTGCTCAAGGAAAAAATCATTCATTTGTTAATTTTCTTTCAACTTCGGTGCTTTAATAATCAGGGGTCGCCACAGCGGAATGAACCACCAACTTATCCAGCATATGTTTTTTGCCCTTCCAGCCGCAACCCAGCACTGAGAAACACCTATACACTCTTGCACTAACACTCATACATTATGGCCAATGTAGTTCATCCAGTTCCCCTAGAGAACACCCCCATGTGTTTGGACTGTGGGGTAAACCGGAGAACCCGGAGGAAACCCATGCCAACACAGGGAGAATATGCAAACTCCACACAGAAATGACAACTGGACTCGCACCAGCGACCTTCTTGCTGTGACATGCTAACCATTGAGCCACCGTGCTGCCAAAGAAAAAATACAAAGGTAAAATACATTTTACAGACCATGAATTAAGTTAATTACTTTGGTTCAACTTAAAATCCATGTAAAGTTGTATTTAAGGCTGAACTATGATAAATACATATAACATGTACACATATGCAGACCTGTAATAATACATACTGTATATTTTATTGTCAGTGATGAGGTAAAGTAGCTGCTGGTGCTTTCAGTATGGCTTTAAATGTGACGCAAAATGATAATAAACCTTACATTAGAAATACATCAATACTGAAGAGCAGTACGTTTTTTTCATGTGGTCACATGACATAAAGTTCATTCAGTCATTCATTCATTCATTCATTTATTCATTTTCTTTCCGGCTTAGTGCCTTTATTAATCAGGGCTCACCACAGTGGAATGAACCGCCAACTTATCCAGCATATGTTTTACGCAGGGGATGCCCTTCCAGCTGCAACCCATCACTAGGAAACACCTATACTGTAACCAGGGAATGTGACCTCAACAACAGAGGTGAGGATCCACATGCAGGTTTATTAGAATGGTCAGGCAAGCAATGGTCAATACAGGAGATGTATAAGAGCAATCCAGAGTCGTAGTCGTATTAGCAGGCAAGTGGTCAAGAGGCAGGCAGCAAACAGGATTAAATAAATAAACGAGGCAAGGATCAAAAAACACGGCAAAGCAAGACAAAGGAAAATGCGTTATAGTGTCACTTAACAGATAACAAGACTCAGCAATGAGTGTCTCAAAGTGAGCTGTATATGTGTGTGATCAATACTTGAGGAGTATCAGCTGTGTGTATGCAATCAGGATCTGGAACCAGTTGTGTGTGTGAAGCATGACTGGTTCTTGTAGTCCATTGACCAGCATATTTGTAGTCCTATGTGAGTGTGAATGTTTTTCAGGGATCTTTGGTGGTTAGATCGCTGATGATCAAGACATATGCACTCTCACACACATACACTATGGCCAATTTTATTTATCTATAGCGCATGTCTTTAAACTTTGGGGGAAACCGGAGCACCTGGAGGAAACCCATGCCAACATGGGGAGAACATGCAAACTCCACACAGAAATGCCAACTGACCCAGACGAGGCTAGAACCAGCAACCTTCTTGCTATGAGGCAACAGTGCTAACCACTGCGCCACCTTGACGCCCATGACATAAAATCTACTGGTTTAAAGTAAAATACTCCTTTGAGGAAAAACTAATGCTTTTAATTGTTTCCAGGTGGTTCTTTTTAGCATTAAGGCAAAATGAATAAAACAGGTTAAAATCAGAAAACATTTCTGTTTCACTTAATCCAATCTAAAAATGTACTTTGAATGAAAGACACAGTCGTTTCACTCTTTTCAGTGTAGAAAGCTCATTGTGAAGTTTCTCGCTGTCGTGCCTAGAAGCAGCCCTGAGAAAAAATGTTTCAGTACTGCAAGGCCAAAGCAGCGCCACTCAGCTTTTGTGATGTTCAATGTGAATTTGCTTTGCAGCTCAGTCATTTTGCACGACACTGGTGCTCTTAATTTCATCCTTTTTTGTGGCATGCGACTTTTGCAAGGTTTTATTTAGGCAGAAACCTGCTACAAACTGGTGAAATGTTAGAACTTTCTGCCCACGGAATTGTTTTCCATTTACAGTCTAATAGAAAAAAATAAAATACAATAGAATAGAGAGAGACGTGGTGGGGCAGTAGGTAGTGCTGTCGCATCACAGCAAGAAGGTCGCTGGTTCGAGCCTCAGCTGGGTCAGTTGGCATTCTGTGTGGAGTTTGCATGTTCTCCCCGCATTCACGTGGGTTTCCTCCGGGTGCTCTGGTTTCCCCCACAGTCCAAAGACTCCAAAACAGTCACCAAAACACCACAATTAGAATCAAAGCCTAAAAGGGTCAGTTTCAGAGAGTGAAACTTCACACACTGGAGACACCAGAGACCTATTTTACATCTTGTAAAAAGGTGCATAACAGGTCCCTGTTAAATGTGAAACACTTTCAATTGCACGAGCAACCGTTTTGCTTGGACTACTCTCAAATCCTGAATTTTGATATTGGACAATTATCCCACTACTGTTTTTTTCATCTGATTCTCAGTCGCAGAAGTCAGCGGGGGGCTTTTGGCCTGGTCTGTCAGCCGGTGAGTGTTAACATGTTTAGTTTTTCCTCAGTGAAGCACTTTTTCTGTCTGCCTTTATGTTTTGCACACACTCAAAAAAATGCTGGGCTATCAGAATCCAACATTAGCTGTGTTTCCATCAAATATATAAACTATAATTATGCATAAAATGATGTTTCATAAACAAACTTTGGGAGGATTTTTTAATAGGGCTATTTTATCATTGACAATCATTCTATCATCCAATCAGCATGCGACCAAACCCTGTAAATATTCAAGCATGTCCTATGTGTTGTTATATAGCATGTCCTGTGTCCTGTGTGTTGTTTGATAATTAATAACCACCTCAAGTGGAACTGTGTATCTGCGTCTCATATCAGAGTCTGCTACTGTCCACCAGAGGTCACATTTCAGTCATGGACGCATGCTTTGAGAGTCTTCCTGACTGAATGAATGAATACGCTGTTTTCCATCAAGGCAACTCGGGGTGCTGAAATATAATTGGTTTAACTGGCATTGGGCGTGTTAAAGAGACCAAAACAACGACAGACGTTCCGGCACGTAACGCACATGTTCAAAACAGAATATCTGACTTTTGCATTGTTTTTTAGATAAACAAAAATGTTCTCTTAGCATGTTTGTTAAATATCTGCAAACATATTATGGTATATGGAATTGTATTCACCGTTTTCTTCGCCAAAGAGCGGGCGCAGCCATTTGAATCTTTTTGGCTCGAGACTTCCGGTCTCATTCACTTCCATTCATTTTTAGACATTAAAAACTGCTCGTTTCGCTGTTTGATGTTGCAAACTGATATTTTCTTATTATAATATTCTACTTGGTCTGTATTGTCATGCAAACATTTCTTTGTAGAGCAAGTAGCTTTACCGTTTTCTGCCATTTATTATTCCTGGTCATTTCTCCCATAGGCGACTGAATCGGAAGTTCTAAAACAATCGCAAAAACAGGTGCACTTCCGCATTTTAGAATAAGGTCAATATTTTATATGTATACCTTTAGAAGAGTCAAAATCTTACTTAAAGCACCTGTAAAATGTCTCCATGATCTGCTTTTGAAGGAATATCGTAGTATCATGCACATTGTTTCCTGTTGCAATACTGGCGCCTCTGTCTCAGTATTAGCTATTGTACACCACAACATAAATTCAATTAAAATAGTAACTCAGTAAGATGTAAAACCAAGTCTAGGAGTCCCTAGCCTAGAGTGTGAATGTGAAGTTTCAGCACAAAACACCACACAAATCATGTTTGCTAACTCTCTGAAACTGACCCTTTTAGGTTTTGATCCTAATTGTGGTGTTTTGGTGACTGTCGCTTTAAATCCAACTTTTCAGATGAGGGCGGAGCTACAAATGACTGCCTCACCATTGCGGGAGATTAAAAACAGAACTAACGTCCTATGCTAATGAGGGAGAGATGGTCACTAGTGGGCGGGGCTTTCCCCCTCTGATGACACGTACAAATGGAGAATGCCAATCAAAGTGTTTCTGCAGACTGTTTTGATCAAGTCTAATTTAAAAAAAATACGATTAATAAATTTTGACCATATGAAGCTGGTTATATTCACACACTGCTGCCACACAACTGTATTCAAACCCCTTATAAATGTGATTTTTGCATAATAGGTCTGCTTTAAAAGATGGTTTCCATTTCCAGACTATAGCAGACAGCAGATGACTGCTGGCTATGATCTCTTAATGTGCGCTTTTGTTCTGGCGTTTGTTTACATAATCACCACCTCGTCTATCCTGAAGCTTCCTGAAATGTTTTATTTTCACAGCTTCGTTAGCTTTTAGTTGAACAGCATCTTTGTGTATGTACAGCGTTGCATTACCCGCCTTCTGGCACACATCAGCAGCCATTGTTGACTTTGCATGCTTTGTCCTTGAATTATAAATACTGCACTGCACTAAACACAGCTAAATACAGAGTCTTAGTGTTGATCGGTGTTTTATTCAGATGATCAAATTCTGACTTTTGAGGAAATATACTCTCCAGATTAATGTTTACCCAACAAATGACAATAAAAAAATAATAATAATTTAATAATAAATAATAATTAATTGACGTGCCTGTTTTGTGTGACACATTAAATATTACATTTTAAAATACTGAACTATTTTAAACATTTAATTAAATAATATTTTAATATTAATCTGTTAACATGTTAATATTAGGTTAACAAGCGGGGGTTGTCGGTTGGCAAAATCAACCGAAATGAGCATCCCTACCCTCCATCATTCCCTCTCTTTTGTCAGAGAGGATGTTCGGCCAAATCAAATGTTACAATGGGCCAACTTTGGCCTGTGGTCCAGACTTTGGGCATCTCTGCCGTAGACTTTTTTTGTCTAGCTGGGCTTGACAGATTCACCTCTGTGATCTCATTAGTCCTGTTGTGTTTACAATCAGCCTTAATTTTAGGCAGCACTTCCTCTGACAGATTAGTCAATCAAAAATGACCACCAGACCAAAGCTTTCCTCTTATGCCTGTAGCTGTTTCATCTGAGAGATATGTGGCCAAACAAAGAATATAATTACCTTTTTCAGCTTGAATACAAATATAAATATTTAACAGCATGGGCTGGAAAAATAAACAATCTACAGGCACAGGTGGCGAGTACTACTCTCAGCATGAAAGCCAATCTATTGTGCTACAGATGTTAATGGTTTAATAAAGAAAGGTACAAAAAGCAACCTAAGGTAAATCAGATATTTAGCAGGGTTTTTTTTCTGTTCTGAGTGAGACTCAAAGCACATTCCTGTCACCTGCTGCATCGTGTTAGATGTCTATATTTATGGTGTTAAATCTCAAACAGGTACAAAGTAGTGATGTAGTAGAATGAATCTTCAATATGACTCGGGAACAACAAGTCCTCTCAGGGAGTGATTCGTTTATTCGTGCGTGCGCACATTTGTGCAGGTGGTATCGTTCATTTCAAGTCTTTTGAGTTGTTCATCGCGGAAAGGCAGATGCCAATCATATGCGTTTAGAGCCGGAAAAATAATTGATCCGTTCACCTCTCGAGTCCTCTATCGGTTCTGAGTCATTCGTTCCTCACAGGCCAATCATATGCGCTTAGAGTCGGAAAAAAAAATTAACCATTCATCTCTCGAGTCCTCGGTTTGAGTCATTCTGTCACGTGATGAACGAACGAACGACTCAAGAACCACAAGATCGGCTCAGACTGTGTACATTGGTTTAGATTATATGTGACTGTCAGGGGAACGTGAACAAACCACTGACATTTAAAGACAACTATGCCTTTATAGACAAAAGAGCAGGTAAACATTGAATTATTATTTTCTCCTTCTTATAGTATTCCAATCATGACTTATTTGTTGTGTGATCAACCTTTTGGGCTAGTTGTAGATGTGTTTGGAAGCAATTCGTAACATTGTAATAATATTTTGGCAAATTGAAACAAAATAACGAAATGACTTTTTTAAAACAAAGATTCGTTCATCTTGAGACTCGAACGAGTCAGTAAAATGATCCAAACTTCCCATCACTAGTACAATGCTAAATAAGTGTGCCGTGAAGCAGATTCATTTTCAAATGTAAATGTTGTAAAATGAACAAAAGGGTGTTCGCTCAATTTTTTCACCTTTCTTTCACTTTCAGTTTTTACGGGTGAAAGTTGTAAAAATAAAAAGCTAGCATATGACAGCAGAGCAGGACAGAACCATCCAGGAGCATGACAGAAAAACACTGTTAAAGTCTATCTGTGGCATTTGTGTGTGGGAGCATGACATTGTGACCACAAGTGGGACAAAATATGATTTCATTTTTATCTTTTTTTTTTTTTTTTTTGTAGGAAACGGGAATCAATCTTATGGTTGCCAACAAATGCTGTCACTTGATGTTATTGAATAAAATTGAGCTATTGTGACGGCATGAATTGAATTAGGCTTGATGTCGCTGATTATGTTTTAAATGTGCATCAAAATGCTTTCATTCATTCATTCATTTTCTTTTCAGCTTAGTCCCTTTATTAATCTGGGGTCACCACAGCGGAATGAACCGCCAACTTATCCAGCATATATTTTACACAGCGTATGCCCTTCCAGCTGCAACCCATCTCTGGGAAACATCCATACACACTCATACACTACAGACAATTTAGCCTACCCAATTCACCTGTATGGCTTGTCTTTGGACTGTGGGGGAAACTGGAGCACCCGGAAAAAACCCACGGGAACACAGGGAGAACAGTATTACTCTTTAGAGTGATTGGACATTAAGCGTACTCCCATTAGTGTCTCTCCTAGACACACGACTCGGTTCCCTCCTTCGGGGAACGTGGGTTACCAGAACATTTTATATTGTGGCCATGTTTGTAGGACAATATAGGCAGTTTTGGGACCTTTTCACTGGATGGACCAAAATGTTTTTAGTAGCGACTTGAGTGAGATTCCAAGCCAGCCGATCCTATTACCAAACATGACAAATTCAAACATGCTTATCACCGGTTAGTCTGAGTGATTTGTTACTACCAGTATCATTGAATTAGTGACACAAGAAGACACCATGACATATGAAGAGTCAGCAGCAGTGCTTTGAGAAATAAATGAGTCTTCAGAAGTTTCTTGGAGAAAGGATTCGGGGAAAAGATTAAATGTTTTTTTGACCTGCCTTTCTGAGAATCTGCTATCTGCTTCACAAGTAATAGCACATTTGATTATTATTCATGTTAATCACTAATGTTACTCTATTATGATGCCTGTCAGACAACATGGTAGATAATATCAGCATTATGATTGGCAGCCGGGACTCGAACCAGCGACCCTCTTGCTGTGAGGTGACAGTGCTAACCACTGACCCACTGTTCTGGCCTAATTTCATTAATAACAGTCTTACAAAAATCTTAAATTTAGCTTGGTAAAACCTGCAGAAACCCTGGTTATGAGCAGGAGAGAGTTAATATGTCCTAGACTTGATGGAATCGTCCGTGTACTGTTTCTGTTGTGTCTGCATACTTGACTGGCCTTGGCTGCCAAAATCATGTCTTGTACATAAACAGTCATTCTTGGCTAACGCTTCAGTGTTTTATATATAGAATCAAACTTTCAGAGGATTGTTGAATCATTCATTTCAAACTAGGATTTACAGTTTCACATAGTAATCTGATATGTTGCCGTATATGCAAATTACATTTATGACACACAAGTTTATATTTAGATTGCACATATATAAAATGTCATATATGTAATATATTTAGAAAAAGCAAGGCAAGACAAGTGCAACAACAAAATACATCACTTTAATATTATACAGTACGTTTAATTTAAACAATTAAAAGCAAATTAGGCATCAAACAACATCGCAATCTTTGTAACGTTAAAAGTAATATACTCAAGTGTCCTCCAAGGCTTCAGTTCATGGCACCAGTTAAACACCATAGGGACGCTCTCCTGCTTTAGCCTATTTAACCCGGTGAACGGTAAAACACTGCAGTCCTCGGTAGCACACCCTCGTGTTGTCTGTAATAGTGTTGTCCCGGTACTGAAGTTTTAAAACGGCTAACATTGAAGCGCCGCTGAGCACGGATGACTCGACTGATCTTCAGGGCTGCTTCGCACTCTAATCTCCCGTGTATCTGTTATCGCACTCAGTTTACCGCTCTTATTATTGTTATAACCTTTATTTTACCAGGAAAGACAGTACACAAGTCACATGAGTCCAACAGACAACAAACAAAAAACTATTTACAGTTAACATGAATCACACTGACAACTATTCAAAACATCTACAAACCTGTGTTTTAACTTCTAAAACTTTTATAGTCTTTTTAAAAGCATGTAGTGAAATCAAGTCTTTGAACTGCAGCTGTAATAATAATAATAATAATAATAATAATAATAATAATTCCTGACATTTATATAGCGCTTTTCTAGGCACTCAAAGCGCTTTACACAATGGGGGGATCTCCTCATCCACCACCAGTGTGCAACATCCACCTGCGCCAGACCGCACACCACACACCAGCTAATTGGTGGAGAGGAGACAGTGATGAAGCCAATTGGAATACGGGGATGGTTGGGAGGCCATGATGGACAGAGGCCAGTGGGCAGATTTGGCCAGGATGCCGGGGTTAAACCCCTACTCTTTTCGAAGGACATCCTGGGATTTTTAACGACCACAGAGAGTCGGGACCTCGGTTTAACGTCTCATCCGAAAGACGGAAACTGTGTTTGCAGATTATTCCAAGCAAAAGGTGCTGCATACTTAAAAGCCTTTTTCCTATCTCAGTCCGCACTTTAGGGACAGAGAGTTATAAAATATCCTGTGAGTGAAGACCATAGTTAAGAACAGGCTTTTTACAAATGCAATTCTGGAGATATGATGGGAACTCAGTATAGATTTGTAAACAATATGAAAATGCTTGAGCCTACGAATGGACAAAGCAGACCAACCTACCCTAGTATACAGCACACAATGATGAGTAAGGGATTTAAAATTAGTTATAAATCTTAGTGCACCATGGTAAACAGTATCCAATGCATTCAGACATTGAGACGAAGCATGCATATAAATTACATCACCGTAGTCCAATGTCGAGATGAATGTTGCCTCAACTAGCTTCTTTTTAGCACCAAAAGAAAGGCAGTTCTTAATTCTAAACTAGAAGCCTAAAATCACTTTTAATTTTTTCACCAATTGCTGAATGTGAGTACTAAAAGAAAGTGTATCATCAATGAAAATTTTAAGATATTTGTACTGGGACACTAATTCAATCTCTGCACCATGAGTAGTAGTAACAGGACCTAGTTTTTGCTTGGCTTGTTTTGAATTTGAAAATAACATAAGTTTAGTTTTATTCTTCACCCAGTGCAAACACAGATACACAGAGACTGGAGCACGAAGCAGCCGTGAAGATGACGAGTCATCAAGCAGATCGCTCGGCTTCACGGCTCGACTGTGTTTGTGCTCAGTAAACAGCGGTGGGTGAACTGATGAACTTCTCGGCCAATCACAAGCATTTCTGTTGAGCACGTGAACACAATGGCAAATCAGCGCTGTTTTAGGAAAGCCATCAACAGTGCCTGAAATGTTAGCGGGAAATTGCCAGTTTTTCTTTTAATTCAGTATCGTGATAAGTGTAATATAGCAAAAGAATCAGTTCATTAACTCGAGTTTGATAAATGCCCTCTAAAACGTGTGTTTGGGAAAGAAAACCTTAGCTAACTAGTGCCATTTCCTTTAACTTGGCTGAAAATGAGCTCTGATATCCCTTTTTATTTTCACCATTCATTCAGAATGGACCTTCGGGTCACTCGGAGGGCGGTGGAAGAATACATTTGTGTCACTTCATCTTCGCTGATAAGATATACAGCCAAGTACACAACGTTCCTATGTAACTCCCAACGATACTTCCGGGTTTCTTCCCACCACAGCCTCGACTTCGCTTTTAATGTGAAATCAGTCTAAAGAGCTGAACGGTGCAGTGGCTTTACTTTATATCCAAAGAAAAGAAAGATCTCCAGAGATGCCTTTTCAAGTTGACAGAAATCTGTGTGATATTTCTCTCCAAGGTTATCATATCATCAGAATCTTACACCAGGCCTTGCCTAGATCCGTCGCAGCACTAACATAACCCCTTGTTTCTTCCTCTGTTTGCAGGCTTGTATTGCCATAGCAATGATTGCCACGGGAGGGGTGATCACAGGCCTTGCAGCATTGAAAAGGCAAGACTCCACACGCTCTCAGTATCATCTGTCAGCCCAGAGCCCCGGCCCGGCACCTGAGAAGAAAACCACCAAGCGGAAGCCTCGAGCGGACGTGGTGGTGGTGAGAGGGAAGATCCGGCTGTACTCCGCCTCAGGGTTCTTCCTGGTTTTAGGAGTGCTGATCCTCATGGCGGGAATCGCAATGGCAGTTCTGGGATACTGGCCTCACAAGGACCAGCCGAAGGCTCCGGAAACCAAGATGTCCGCAAACAACACGCAGAGCTTCGGCCGAGAGCAGGCCGGATCCATCGCACAGTTCCTGGAGCAGCACATGCATTCGGAGAAGATGAAGATGTTGGGTCCCTTTACAATGGGAATCGGGATTTTTATCTTCATCTGTGCTAATGCGATCCTTCATGAGAACCGGGATCGAGAGACCAAGGTCATCCACATGAGAGACATGTACTCGACCGTTATAGACATACACAGCTTGCGGATTAAGGAGCAGAAGTGTACTAATGGAGCATGTATGGGACCCTACGGGGGGGACACTGAGATCCGTACCTTTGGACTGGACAGCCAGTTTGCCTCTCGGCTCGCAGCAAACACACTGATGTCTTTCTCGGGTCTGGATGGAGATGTGCGGTTCTCCCACAGGACTAGTTCTGCAGATGATGATGATGGTTTAATGAGCGAGGCTAGAGGTGGATTTTGTTTGCTGTCGCCCACCTATAAGGACCGCTCTGAATGTATATTCGGGTTCCAGGATGATGGTCGGTGGGAGGACAGGCGAGGAGCTCTTAAAAAATGCCAAACGCGCTCCATTGTTTCCTCCTCCATCAGTGCGTTCACACTGCCTGTCATTAAACTCAACAACTGTGTCATCGATGAACCAGACATCGACAGCATAACTGAGGATTTAGAGCAGAGCAGGGTGCACTCCAGACCTCCGTCAATGGAGTCGCTGACAGTCCCGGTTCCAGACATCGCCAAAGCCTTCAAACCTCCAGGCGTCCAGCTTCTGCGGAGCAACTCAGCCACTGAATCCGCCAGCTCCACATCTTCCCGCTCATCCCTCTCTCCGGGATCCACCAGCGGGAGATTCCTGTCTCCGGGAGCTGCACGTAAAGACTTCGGCTCCAATAACTCCATCCACATGCTGTCCGCCCACTCCAAATCCCTGGACCTGGAAAGAGGACCCACAAAGCTGACCGTCCAGCCTGAGCAACGGAAACACCCCAGCTGGCCCAGATTGGACCGCAGTAATAGTAAAGGATACACCAGGCTGGAGAACAAAGAGGACCCTATGGACAGGTTAATAGTGCCCCCGGTGGACGTGAAGAAGGACTACACTAAAAAGGAGAAACTACTTATGATATCAAGGTCGCACAATAACTTGAGCTTCGAGCACGACGAGTTCATGAGCAGCGGTCTGAAGAGGGGCACCTCGGAGACCAGGTTTTAAAACTGAGCCAAATCCCTCCCAATCCAACGGCATTACAGGAGACTCGGAGTGTTTATAAGACTGTCATGAAAGCTTTATAAACATAGTTATTAAAGGTGCAGTAGGTGATCTGCCAGAATGCTATGGTTAACATAATAGCTTAAAAATTGACATCACTCCCCAGAGCCATGCCTTTTAAAGTCATAAACGCACACTAAATAGATGACTAACTGATGACGATAGACTACATCATGCGATTCACTAGTTTGAAAACTCCATGGAGACACACACTTTGTCCAGCGTAGTTGTTGACAGGCCAGCGGGTGCAGGAATTAAGGCAGTTGGTTTTATATCCGCACATTCAGACTTTCTTCTCAAAAATATGATTTCAGAAAAAAAGTCTTGTTTGCAAGTTCTAAATAGTGAAATCATGTCATCAGCCATTGACTATAAATATTCAAAGTATGGTTAGATTGGGAGCACGTCACAGGCTGTGACGCGCTCCCGATGTTTATACCGCTACTCTGAATATTCGCTCTGAAATAGCATGTAAATGTGGCTTAGTAATAAGTAGGCCCAACCAGAATCTGCGCACGCAGAATTCCGCAGATTTTTAGCCCATCATTAATTCTGTTTATTTACTTGAGTAAATTTGTGTAAATCTATATTATCCAGTTTTTTTAATTAATTTCAGTAAAATTGTTAACTAATGTGAAAATGTTCGTCTGATTTATGTACAATGCAGTTTTTAAAGTAATATTTTCTGTCTTTTACTAGATATATTAAATGACAAACTTGCTTTATTTACATATATATAAGTGAATCTAATTGAATTTTGCATTTTAAACATTAAATAAAAGTTAAAAAAAGATTATTTTTTATTTCATATATTAAGGTTTTAGTTAGGATACTCCCAAAATAATTCGGCAGAAATCCGCAGACTTTTACCAAAATTCTCTGCAGAAATAGCAAAAAACGTCCGCAGATTCCGTCTGGCCCTAGTAATAAGTGTAATTCCTGCACACCACCGGCCAACCACTAACAACATTTCTAACAAGCGAATGACATGAACTAGTGGGTTGTCTGCTGTCATGCCGCGGCGCGCAAGTTCGTGATTTCAGGAGGCGTGGCTTTAAAACCTCCCCTGTAGTCCAAAGCTAATATGCTACCCGGTCAGCATTTTGGCAGATCATCTACTGCATTATCAATATTTCTTGACCTCTTTTGCAGTGATACAAATTAAGTTTTGCATTAAAATGTCGTTAAATATTAATGATGGGTTTATAAAATAGTTTGACATAGAAATTCATTCATTCATTTTCTTTTCAGCTTAGTCCATTTATTAATCTGGGGCCGCCAACTTATCCAGCATATGTTTTTACGCAGTGGATGCCCTTTTAGCTGCAACCCATCACTAAGAAACCTCCATACACTCTCATTCACACACATACACTGCGGTAAATTTTAGCATACCCAATTTTCCATACCACAAACCGGAGCACCCGGAGGAAATCTACACCAACACGGGGAGAACATGCAAACTCGCTGAGGCGCCAACCAGCGACCTTCTTGATGTAAGGCGAACGTGCTACCCTGTGCGCTAGGAAGGGTGGAAGGGCATCCGCTGTGTAAAACATGTGCTGGATAAGTTGGCGGTTCATTCCACTGTGGCGATCCCAGATTAATAAAGGGACTAAGCCGAAAATAAAATGAATGAATTAAAATTGATCAGATAAATATTCATAGCACAATTATAATGATCTCATGACAGTCATGTTTATGACAGATTTATGACAAGTTACATTGTCTTGGTATCGTCAAGTTGTTATGACAAAAATATTTCAAACAATATCATCTTTGGTGTCAAAACAATGTCATCTGTCATTTAAAATGACACAACTGACACCTAATGATCTAATAAAATTATATTCATATTCATGAGGTGATTATAAAGGGTTAATGACTGTCTTATGAACACCGCTTCAGTTAAAGTGTTACCCACAGTTCTTGGTTCAAACAGTTGTGTTGCTTATTTATTTTCTGTCGCTGAGTTTCAGAATGAATTTAAAATACACAAAATAAGTCGGAATCACCATAAAAAAAGTTAATTGTTGGTGTAACTTAATTTAATGGCACATTACCCCTCAATCAAATCAGGCTTTTTTAACACATTGTAGACAAATAGGACCCAATAGCAAAATTCACATTGAACCAATGATGTCAAATCACTTTCATTTAAATAACCTTTTTATGTAATTAAACACAGTTTACACACATTTTACTCCCGTGGAGCTAATTAATCACAATCACTTCATTTGGAAAAACATAATTTTTTGCTATATACTACAATTTAAACTTAACAACATTAATGGAGACCTATTATGCCTCTTTTTACAAGATGTCAAATAAGTTTCCGAGCAGCAGATTCAAAACAGGACTAACGTTATCTGTGTAAAAAAGTGTAATCAGTCTATGGAGACTCCTGCCGCTGTTCATTTGTGCTTCATCTAAAACTCCACATCTATAATCCTCTTAGTCTATGCTGACATTATCTGCAGCAGCTCAAACACTCTAATGGCTAATAGACAGACGGCTGCTTCTCACTTAAGGCTGTTTTTGCTAATGAGGGAGAGATGGTCACTAGTGGGCGGGGCTTTCCCCCTCTGATGACATCATACAAAGGCAGAATGTCAATCAAAGTGTTTCTGCAAACTGTTTTTAATCAAGCGTGATTATAACAAGCAGAAATAATTATTTTTTACCATTAGAGGCTGCTTATATTCACACACTGCTAACACAAAACTGTGTTTAAACTCCTTATAAAAGTGATTTTTTGCATAATAGGTGCTCTTTAATGATTATTATGGTTTTATATTAAACATATGGACTGGATAAGTAAAAAGAGACTGATCTCAGAGCTGCCGTTAACACAGTTATGGCTCACTGAGAGAAAAAAGCAAACATTAAAGGTGCAATAGGAGATCTTGGAAAATGCTAATGTTAGCCTGATAGCACTGAAAGCTTACATGCTACACTTCAAATTGGATCAGGATGAGACGAGACTTTCAACCTGCATAATTATAATTGTTTCTCAAGACAAATCACTTATTGCACCTTTAATGTTAATAAAACTGCCGAACTGTACCACTCAGTGGAAACGGCCCATTAGAGTACACAGTTATGAGGACAATCACAGCCATAACTTTATTCGATTGCAGCCCCATATAGACGTACAATATATTTGAAAAAAACTGACATGTTTGAACATATATGAAGCCTGCAGATACATTGTTATTGGCAACCCAAGCTCATTCTGGAAACGTAGCCCCGCGGACGTTTCTGGAGACTGCGATTTACGTGGCTGGAGGAACGTAAAGGCCGCGTTTAGTTTTTTTTCGAGCGAACTCTGTGGGCTGGAGTGGAGGGCTTTCCCGATGCAATCAGTTTGTCCACTTAGCTCACAGCGTTGCGTCGGCGGAGCGGAGGCCCCGGAGGAGGAGCCGGCCGCAGTGGACGACGACCGGGATCGAGTCAGGGGAACAGCAGGTTCCAGAAATCAGGTAAGACGAAAAACGGTATCCAAAAAATAAGGGCGAGAACGCAGCGGGATCTGAAAACGCGGTCGAAATCGAAGATGAGGGCTTTTGCTTTTTTTTTTTTTTTTTTCTGGACGGCTTTTGCGAACCGTCGCTCGGGTTTAGGGAAGGAGGAGGAAGAGGAGGTCGGCTGAGTCGGCTGAGTCGGCCGATCCGGTGGCTTTTCACGCGAAAACGGCCTGGGCGCGAACGGAGCGCCCTCCCAAGACGCGAAAAAGCGCGCACAGCAGCCTCTGGCGGATCCACGAAAACAAAAAACGCTTGAATACGTACCTCCCGGGACGTAAATCGCGGTCCGATCGCGGGCTACGTTCCCACAATGAGCCCGGGTTGGTTATTGGTAAACCCAGCCCAGGTAGTTACACCAACACAATTCATTCATGTTGTCCCAACTCAAATTGATTATTTTTTTTATTTCCAGATTCTGCTGGTTGCATTTCCTGAATTACCATGCTTAAGCAAATCTTAATCATTAGTTTTGGTTCAATTCAGAATTTCCCCAACCATTGCCGAGCCCTGGGAATCAGAGTGAGCGCTCCAGCTTGGCCCCACCCTGATCTACTCAAATTGTTTGTGCTAACTTAATTTGTTTTCCCAAGCTGAAGTTGATTGAAGTTAGAGCAAATAAATAATTGTGTTGTTTTAGCTCAAGTAGTTTCAACAAGCAGTATAAATCTTTTTTTCCCTTTTTTTTTCGGAGTCGCAATGGTAAAATAAACCTGGATGCAGTGAACAATTCCGCGAATAGCAGGTTAGTGAAACTTGTTCAAGTGTGTTTGTATTGTTTTGTAACATTCAGACAATCTATTGTCTGTTTGAGTTCAGTGTGTGTGTTGTACCAGCACTGCTAGTTAAATAATTTATGGTTTAAAATGCGCGCACACACAAACACAGTCTAATATTTTTGAAGAGAACGTCTATGTATAATTTATCTGTTTCTCAGAATAAACACAACCTTTCCAGATAACGCTCTTCTGTTTCACGGTCATTCCTTAAATCGTTGCGCTGTTTAGTCCAGAGTACGGCTGTGCAATATATCGTTAAGTATCGATATTGCAATGTGTGTATTTGCAATATTCACATCGCAGGTTCTACAGTGTTGAGTCTATATTATAGTCGACCGGAAACCACAGTTCAGAATACAGGAGTTTTGCGGCTTCACTGCAGAGTTAACCCAAAATAGAGTGAAAGCTTATTGTTTGCATGTAATTTGGAGGATTATAAAAGTATTCAGGCATGAGAAACTAGTAACTTTTAACTCTGTTTAATTTTATTGATTTATTTATACAAGATTATTCAGTATTATTTTACACTTCATTACTCAGTTACTCTACCTGAATACTGTTTGACTCCTCAGAAAACTGTAAAGCACTTTTTATTTAATTAGTATTTTATAGTATATACAGTTAAGGTCAGAATTATTCGCCCCCTTTGATTTTTTTACCTTTTTTAAAAATGTCCTAAAAGATGTTTAACAGAGCAAGGAAATTTTCACAGTATGTCTGATAATATTTTTTCCTTTGTAGAAAGTCTTATTTGTTTTATTTCGGCCAGAATAAAAGCAGTTATTAATTTTTTTAACATCATTTTAAGATCAAAATAAGTAGCCTTTTTAAGCTATCCCCCCCCCCCCCCCCCCCCCGACTCCCTACAGAACAAACCATTGTTATGCAATAACTTGCCTATTTACCCTAACCTGCCTAGTTAACCTAATTACCCTAGTTAAGCCTTTAAATGCCACTTTAAGCTGAATACTAGTGTCTTGAAAAATATCTAGTCAAATATTATTGACTGTCATCATGACAAAGATAAAATAGATCAGTTATTAGAGATGAGTTATTAACACTATTATGTTTAGAAATGTGTTGAAGAAATCTCTGTTAAACAGAAAAAATAAACGGGGGCAAATAATTCAGGAGGGCTAATAATTCTGACTTCAACTGTATATATGCATGTGTGTGCATGCGTGTGTGTAATAATATACTATGAAAAAATGTTTAAATAGA